GGCGAACGCCAGTTATTATAAATAGGTATTTTTGTTTATTTGTTTATATATACTATACTATATACCTGATTAAAAACAATCTTATAAATAACTACACTATCGCTGAGAGAAATAAACTTTTATTTATTTATTACGTGAGTGGAAGTCTGGCTGTTATAAATATTATATTAATATTATTTAATATTCAATATTTTAATGTGGGAAGGTTTTATATTTATTTTATTTAACTTTTTTTTGGTTTTCAATGGACCGATGGGTTAGAGATATATGTTGCTTTCAACATCAATGGGAATCATTTAGGCTTTTTGTATAAATATACTTAATATTATTTGAATATATTATGTATTCTAAATTGACCAAATTCTAACATTAAAATGCCCTAAAATGTAGCATGCGCGTAATTTATTCATAAAAAAACATGAAATTAAATTAAGTACCTATACATTATCGTCTACATTATATTCATATCGAATATATTACTAGATAAGTACTTACTTATTATGCCATTTGCCTTGAATATATTTTTATCGATAAAAAACAGGGCCAACACTATACTTTGCTGTCTAAAAGCTATTAGCAGTTGCCGTCGGAGGCGCACCTGCGACTGTCATTTCCTTGCTACAGATTACTTACCTTTACCTCTACTTGTATCTGTCACTACTATAAACTGTCCTCGTAATGTATAGATTTAGTTTATATTTCGATACAACTGACTAACCCTCGCTTCGCTCGTGGAGCATCACTAGTAGTTTTTTACATTTTAAATATTATGATTCGCACTGACTCTGCTATTTCATTAGAAAACATCGACTTTGCTTTACTTTCTATAAACATAGTATATAGTATGTATTATATATAAAAACTTTACGGAAGAAATATTCTAAGTAAAAACTATATTATATACGTGACTTAGATGAAGTAAATGGAGAAATCGATAGCAACTTTGTTTTATACTATTTATAACTAAATAACTTTAGAGTGTTTACGATATAGGCAGATAGATAGAATATGATACTTAAATCTATTACTCTCTAATCACTTGGACAAGCAAATTTTCATATAGACTATATAAATAAAAATTAAATATTGTTCGTTGTTCGCATCACTTGAGAGCATGGCCGATTTGGCTAATTTCTTTTTAAAAATATTCGTCTGAATTAGGGAGAAATATTTAAGAAAGTTGTTCGGAAAATTGACAAGTTTGGAAAAAAGAAAATGCTATTTCCTAAACGATTTTTGAATGAATCCAAAGAATATGAAGAAAATAGAAATTTTGACAGACAAACGTCTGTCGGGTCATCTAGTTCACAATATTAGTTGAAGTTACTCTTTAAATTGCTCAATTAATAGGTGGATTATCCGATATAAGACTAGTCTCCAAACCCACCAGTCCAATTTCAAGAATTCTGTATGAATTTTCATGCGAGCATAACCGCGAGCAAAAGCTGATTTCTTACATATTAGTAAAAAAAAATCTTTGTTTATATATTTTTTTTATATATTTTAAAATACAAATGAAGAAATATAAAGGACTTAGAGACAATACTAAAATATTCGCATATACTCAAAGTTGGCTTTAGTTAAATACGTAATTTGTTGAACAAAAAATGAAACTTTCATTTCCAGTGGCATTCCGTTCAAGTTTTGGAGTTAAACAGAGTTGCATAAATCTAACTCACAGTCACAGATTGTTTTTAGCGGCGGCTGTGTGGTACAATTGTATTGTGTTATAACTAATCAAGTTAGATGATAATCTATACTAATAGGTATATACTAATATTATAAAGAGGTAAAGTTTGTGAGTTTGTGACGTTGTAGGGGATATTCTATGCATTTACTGAACCGATTTAGATGAAATTTGGTAAGAAGATAGTTTGAGATCCTAGGAAGGATATATAATACTTTTTATCTTATGGAAGTGAAAATAGGGATGAAAGTTTGTATTGGGACTAAAGTCCAAATAAGTTTGTAATGTTATTTAGGGATGAAAAGAGTAAAAATTGAAAGGCTATATACTTAATTCATATACTAATATTATAAATGTGAACGTTTGTGAGGATGGATGGATGTTTTTTACTCTTCCACGCCAGAACGGCTGAACGGATCTGGATGAAATTTGGCACAGAGATAGATTATAGTCTGGAATAGCATATAGATTATTCAGGAAAAATGTAATGATAGATTTAATTTTGTCTAGGGACCAACCCGACGCGAAGCGCAGGTGAGTCGCTAGTAGAAAATAAACATCCGCGGAGACTTTGTACCATCATATATATTATGTATGAACTATGTAGATAGATGATTCGAAATATTGTAATACATTTATGCATTTCTTAATAACTTAAATTATTGTAAAGAACGAAAAATGTCTGTTGCCATGAAATAATAATAGTACAATTTTTAACAATAATATCAGGCTCCGATATAGCGATTTTTTTTAGATATTGTCATTAATCTATTAACTTTTATTTTTAAAAGATCGTCACAAAATTAAGACTAACGTGGTATAATTATGGTTATTTAAATATTTCGCTCTCCGTAAAGGAATAACTACTACCATGTCTGTTATTCAATATAACTGAACACCTCAAATACATAACAAAATTCCGCATACGGTTTAGATGAAAAAGTATAAAATCAATACTTACCAAAAAAAATTATAACATGTATACTTAACAAAAAATATTTTATGCTTAATATACAAATTTTATCCCATAACAACGTTCTAAATTTCCTTAAAACAAGACTTTTTGTTTGTTATGACTAATCTCAGAAACTACTGTACTGATTTTGATACAGTTACCACCAAAACAAAAGTGGATTATCTAAAACGGTCATACTTTATTAATATAATAAACTATGGTGATTATAAACATACTAACGATTTTTCTCGCTTATTTCCACACTTGATATTTCAAGTTATATCATATCAAGGTATATAATATAGTCTATATGTGCACTAAACTTAACCGAATCAGTTCTGTAATTTCAGCGTGAAAGAGAAAGAAACACACAAACACAAACACAGATAACACAAAATTTTCGCATTTATAATAGTAGTTCGATGAATATTTTTAAATTTATTCAAACCGCTTCATGCTAAGGTTTAGGGCAATACAAATTGCGGTGGCTGGCGAAGTTGCTCCTGTGATTATTCAATTATTGCCACAGTTAAGAGTTTTGCGCGAGCTTAAAAATATCCCCCATCTTTGAATAACCTTTGAATTTTCAAGACGGAAATTACAATTTGTTTTATTGCGAAAAAGGTTAGAATAAGTTTATTTTGACATTCATTTTAGGAGATTAAAATATTTTTTTTATGTTTTGTTGTTTGTTTAGTTTATTTCGAGACTGTTTACGCACTTTAAGTTAGATTATACTCTATACAGTGTTATCTATTTTCTTTTTTTACTACTAGGTACTTTATCTCACTTTTTCATCATCCATCATCACCAAAATGTAACGTTGTGGCATCCCCAGGAACTATCTCATGAATCTAAATGGCAAATAGTTTATATTATTCAATAGCCTGCCAGCTACATCTATGTAAAATATTAACGTAAAGCCATTGCCTTATGACATAAAAACAAAACAAATTATTATCGCAATCTATATAATATTATCTTTTTGATGTAAAAGAATTCTGGGTATAGCGAAGTACAAAATCCAATGAATCTCTACAATGCGACCACTTTAAAGCTAAAAGTATCCCAACATAAAAGAATAATTGTAATCGTAAATATTTTTATACAGGAAAAATGGAGAACCACCTTTTTGAAGTGTGTTATTTTTTTTAAAGAACGACAGTAAAAATAATGGCTGAAATGACTTAAGATAGTAAAGAGAATATTAATTTATTATGGCCATTTAAATAATGCTCTGTAATGCTATTTATTACTACAACAAAGGGAAACTACCAACTAGTTCCATGGTAAGCTATGAGGCCTGTGTTATGGATACCAGATAGTTGATACACTACTCATACATTACTTTAAATACATTCCTATTATAAATATAAACACCGATGACTGGAGTACAAACAATCGTCTTCATCACACAAATGAATGTCCTCAGCGGGACTCGAACCCGCGACCACTGGCACAGCAAGTAAATTATGAAATTTCATCTAAATCGGTTCAGTAGTTTCGGAGCTTATTCAGATGTGAACATATTATAGTAATTTAAGTTTAATAATATAATACTTGTAAGAAAAGTAAAAATCTGCGGCATTGTTCACTTAGAATAATTATAAATGTTATGTATTATAAAATAAGAGCTAGTATTCTATGGTGATTTTGCAGCTTCGTATTTGACTTTCTTGTTTTCTCGCAAATAGAATACATTAAATATTATTAAAATCATGCCAAGTTATTGAAGATCCATTAAATATGTAGTTCTCGCGTAGTATCAGAATTATTGTATAATTATTGTCCCGTATGTATAACTGCCTCGGTGGTGTAGTGTCTAGCATGTACGGCTGCACACCCGGAGGTCCTGGGTTCGAGTCCCGGGTCGGGCCAAGTTTAGTTATTGAGTCTTTCTGTATATTAAGCCTCAGTAACAGCCCGGAGTTGGGAAGATGGCGGTGTTTCACCCCCGTGCCTCGGAAAGCACGTAAAGCCGTCGGTCCTGCGCCTTAACTCTTACTGGTCGTGTCGAGTGGTCGTTCCACCAGAATATGAAAGTGACAGGAATAGAGAGTGCACTTGTGTCTGCGCGTACACTCGTGCACTATAATATCTCCTGCGCAGTTGGCTAGTCTCAATGAGATTGGCCGCCGTGGCCGGAATCGGTCAGGAGAACATCATCATGTATACGCAATTGACTGAGTAAACAGCAATACGAAAAGACGACAGATTTTCGAAACTTAGAAAAATAAAATACTGTACATATAAAACGTTACTTATGATAACATAATTATATTTATTATTATGAGTAAATACTTCACAAGCAATGATATGAAATTACTGTTTTGAATATAAAGCGAAAATGAAAGTTTAAAATTTCTTCGTAAAAATAAATCCACCGCCCTTATTCCAATTTCCATTATGGAACGGTGTGACAGTTTTGTTAGCCCCAACGTTGAAGTCGAGAGAAGATGTAGGAGTTTTATGTAAGTTCAAAGATCCGCCTACTGAGTAGTCGGTTTGTTTAAACATCGGAGTATGAGATACAGATGCGTTTGCGCCGACTTTCTCCCTGAAAAAGTATGGTTTAAAAGTTTTATATTAATTTGAGCTTATTTTTATTTAAATTCAAGGCTTTATTTTCTATACTAAATATTAAAAAAAACTGTTTAACAAAAAAATAAAAACCGACTTCAAACAAAAAAATAACTGATTGGTTTTTCTTCGGACTTCGAAAATATTTGATTAGGTATGTATAGTACATGAAAACTACCAATCAGTTATTTTTTACTTTTTAGTGCTTTTGTTTGAAGTCGGTTTTTATTTTTTTGTTAAAAAGTTTTTATTTTTCCCTTTCCTAGACAGTAGTAGCAAAGAAAGAATTCTAACGTGTTAGGCTTGTCACATCAAACAAAATAAGCCCAAACTCAAAGTATCTACTATTAGCCGTTGAAGAGTTCCACCTATCCACCTTCTGGCCTTACCATCAGATCAGGTCAGCAATACCAAACCACTGTACTATCAACGGAAATAGAAACACTTGCAAAGTTTCAAGTCAATATGACAATTAGAAGTAGGTTAAATTCATCATTAGCTATTTTTCCACCGTTAGGGGTGGTATTTTTTTTGAAATTTAAACGGGACCAATCTGGAAATATACCCTTTCAAACAAAACAAAAATTTTCCAAATCGGTTAAAAAATGACGGAGTTCTGAGGTGACAAACATAAAAAAAAGTACAGTCGAATTGAGAACCTCCTCCTTTTTGAAGTCTGTTGAAAAGAGGAAAGATTTGTTTATTTGTACTGAATAAGCTCCGAAACTACTGAACCGATTTAGATGAAATTTTGTAAGAAGATAGTTTGAGACACTAGGAAGTACGTAGGATAGTTTTTATCAAGGAAATCATCTCTTAAGGGGTGAAAATGGTAATTCTAAATAAATTGATATATTAGTAACTAAATACTTGTATCGCCTTAATTCTACTATTTTGAATTTATATAAGTAGTTTTTTTTGATATTTTAGAAATTTTGCATAATGTAATAATATGTAAATTGCAAATCACATCACAAATATAAATGCAAAAGTTTGTAAGTGTGTATATGCTTGTTACTTTTTTATGTTGTAACGGCTGAACGGATTTGGATGTATTTTAGTACATGGATAGATTGTGAGATAGAGTAACAAGACAAAAGGCAGCTAGAGAAGCACTCAAGCGAAGTAAGAGTTAGTTAGTAAGTAAATTAAAAAAACTTTGTGATATGCATATACATAAGAGCAAGATCTTGTGAAATATATCTCGTAAATCTTTTTCTAATATAAAGTAATAAAATACGAATATAAAAACTTACTTAAACATATATTCCGCTCCAGCACCATGAGTCATGAAATTGGGCGAGTTTTTGGGAAAGTTGGCCGTACTGTGCGCGTTTACATCAAACCTATGGTTATCAATTTTAATAACATTGACGTTACTTGAGGCTGTAACTTGATTGCCAAACGTCGGAATATGCTGAGCTTTCAGGCCAACTGCATGACCATTTCTGTAAAAAATGGGAAGAATGGGTAATGCATCGTTTATATGGTAGAATAAGATTAAATAAAGCAAAAAAAAAATAAGAAAAAAGTTTCATAGTGATTAAAATTATTGAAGAACAATAAAAATTTCAATAGGGCAGTGGTTGCCCAGTATAGGTGCGCTCGCTTTGAAAACCAAGTGGATCGGGCTCAAACACCGCACCACTGGTATCTTCATGTAATAATTATTTTCAACATGATTACTAACATGTGAATAAAAACATCGTGAGAAAACGTACATGTCTGAAAAAACCTAACAAGTTTATGACAGATATGTGAAGATCCACCAACCCGCACTTGAACAGTGTATTGGACTATGACCTAGTCCTCCTCGTATTGAAGAGAGGCCGTGTCCAGTAGTGAGATGTTAAAAATGGGTAAATACACACAGATTGTTTTCCAATATAAAAAAAGTTTGCTTACTCATGAGCAGCATTTAGGCTAACTCCCGCAACATTATAGGGTGGAGCATTGAGTTTTGTTGGATCAGGTGTATCTCTGTACCCACTAACAAACGCAGTCGCTGATACGGAATTTCCTCCATCTTCCCTACCAGCTGTTACACTATAATTCTTCGTCTTATCGTCATTTACTGACATATTTCCATTGACTGACATTTTGTAGTTTTAGAGTATAATGCAAAGTCAAAACGCCTTGAATTATCAATATCAACTGCGTACTCTAACATTTGATTCGCGTTTATATACTCGGAGCAAGTGGGCGTCGGGACTTTGCGGCTCTTATCGATGCTTTATTAAAAATAGTCCCGCGATGTAGTCCTTTGTTTTTTAATACGAACTAATTATCATAATGTATAATCATAAATATCATAATGTATATATATATATATATATATATATATATATATATATATATATATAAAGCTGCAGATTTTGGTTTTTGTTTGAATCTCTGGAATTACCAGCCGAAATAAAAAAAACGTATTAAATGACCTACTTGTGATATAATTGAGAAAGATTACTTAAAAAACATAAATAAACTATTAGTTACAGTTAAAATAATAGGCTATAATAAATATTGTATATGAATACTTTAACAATGAGATATTTAAAACAATATATAAGAAGAATAATAAGATGAGACTAAAATGAAATTGTAGCAATAGTGATTCTAACAGACAAAGAAAATTGCAAAAAAAAATGTTTTAAAAGTAAATATCCTATTCTACTCAAAATACTTCAATAAAAATATACAGTATACTATTTCTTATCGACCATGTAACAGCGCTATTCCGTTTAACTCACGTCTATTTTAGTAGGGAATTCCCGGCATACTCCTTTATATGTATGTATAATGTACGTATATGATATTAATGTCGGTAATATTGGGGACGAGACAAAGAAACAAAAAAAGATAGCATATAATATATTTTTTGTGTATAAAGGTAGCAATATTGTTGCTTAATACTTTAACTTCTTTTAAATTACATATAAAACAATATACAAAAAAAAATGTTTAGATAAATAATTAGTATTTTTTTAATATTTAATATCCCTCGCATGTGCAAGTTGTGGAACAAACTTCCTCCTGAGGTTTTTCTTGAGGTTTCCCTCTAGAATATGGGGCTCTTTAACATTTGTGTCTTCGGTAATGACTGTAATTAATGTAATAATTTGGTAATTCGGTAATCTGATGATGGACCACCCCCATGTTAACGCTTTTTTTTAAATATACATCAATAATAACTGAGAGTCTGTACAAGTTCCCTAGAAAGTAAATCTACACTAATATTATAAATGTGAAAGTTTGAATGGATGTTAGTTACTCTTTCACGCCAGAACGGCTGAACGGATCTGAATGAAATTTTGCACAAAGATAGATTATAGTCTGGAATAACACATAGGCTTATCTTACATATACTTTTTATCCCGGAAAAATGTACGGTTCCCGGGGGATAGGTTTGTTTTTGTTATCCTAGAGGCGAACCTGAGTGAAGGGACGGACGGTGAGCCGCTAGTAATAAATAAATATAAGCGAAGCGAACAAAATGAGTTTTGTAGGTGTATACATGTAAGAGTTTCTATATAAGAATTCTTCATAACGCTATGTAGTATATGTATATTGTATATGTATGCCTGCCTGATATTGCATACAGTTTGTAACCGACTTCCAAAAAGGAGGAGGTTCTTAATTCGTCGGAATCTTTTTTATGTATGTTTACCGATTACTCGAAAACGCCTGAACCGATTTAGATTTTTTGTTTCGAATGGTATACTTCCCAGGTGGTCCCATTTAAATTTTATGGAAATCGGTCGAGCGGTTTTTTTAAAAATAAAGAAATAAATTGTTTTTTTAAATAAATTACTTAATCGAATATGTTATTAAAAAACTTTTGTTTTTACAAATTACCTGCTTATTACGTCTGCACTACAAATGACTTGACTCACAGGCACTAAAATGTAAAAAATAACTAAACGGGGGTTTTCATTTAGAATAGATACCTAATCAGATATTTTCGAAGTCAGTGCCAGCCGATGCAAAGCAAATCTAATATATTTCGATACATAAAACACATATTTCCCTATTAGATATTCATATCTTAAAATATTGTCTGCTGGCACCGACTTCTAAAATATCTGATTAGGAATCTATTCAAAATTAAACCCCCTCTTTAGTTATTTTTTACATCTTAGTGCTTGGAAATCTATTTTTTTTAAGTTCTTATTAAAGTGGCTAGTTCAATTCTTGAATAAGTCAAAATCGAACAACTGTACTTATTAAATCAGATATTTGTGAATTAAGTGATTGTTATGAGATACTTTAAAATTTTAAGAAGTTACTATAGTATAATTTGACGAAGTAAAGAATTGAGTGAAACAAAGGTTTTCAAACGAAAAAAAAGTAAAAGGTTTTGCCAGAAAAAATCTGAGCTAATAATAAGTGTAAAATTTAAATATACTTTTGAATATGCTAGTGATTTTTTTTTTCAAAAAAAACACTAGATAAAACAGTATTGCTTATTTTAAAACACAATTTATTGCACTTGAAGATAAGAACGATAATTGAATGACACTATAAGTGAAAGGAAGTGAGTCACATACCAAAGCTGTAGGGGAATAACCGAGCTAATAAATATAACTTAGAAGGAACACTTTGATGATCTAACCATTAAATAAAATCTATAAGAGTATTTTTTTTATTTATATCAAAAAATAAACCAAAATTTTTTATGTATATTTTTAAATACAACACATTTTTCCGATTTCTTTCGCGATTTAATTTCACTTTTTGGTCAAAATATCGCGTAAACCTAAATAATGTGTCATTTTTTTTTCTTTCGGTACATTTATCATGATGATGTTCTCCTAGCCGATTCCGGCCACGGCGGCCAATCTCAATGAGACTAGCCAACTGCGCATGAGATATTATAGTGCACAAGTGTACGCGAAGACACAAGTGCACTCTCTATTCCTATCACTCTCATACTCCGGTGGGACGACCACTCGACAAGACCGGTCAGAGTTAAGGCGCAGGACCGACGGCTTTACGTGCGCTCCGAGGCACGGGGGTGAAACACCGCCAACTTCCCAACTCCGGGCTGTTACTGAGACTTACTATACAGGAAGACTCAATAACTAAACTTGGCCCGACCCGGGACTTGAACCCAGGACCTCCGGGTGTGCAGCCGTACATGCTAGCCACTACACCACCGAGGCAGTTAAATTATCATAATGATGGTAGTATATACTACACTATAACTTTTTCAATTATACTTTGAACTTTTTTTGAAAATATGATTTTTTTTACTTATGTTGCTAGAAAAGAATTGATATTAAGGAAAATATATTTTTATAAACATAGTTAAATATATATATATATATATATATATATATATATATATATATATATATAATATATTTACAAGTTACTAATAAAACAAATTAATTTCAATAACAGATTCAATTTCAGATAAAATGTTCGAAACGAAGTTATGTCTTGAAAATCACAAACTTTATTTAGTTTTTGAAATGAAGAGGTTAACAAAAAAATATGAAAAAATTGATTAAAAAAATAAGACCCAAAAATAAGACTTTCCACATAAAATATTTGCAATTAATGTATCAAGTAAATTGCTCACTACTTTGATTCAGGCGTAACAATAAGCGTTTCAAACACTCGATATACCTACATACAGACGATATATTATGTACATTGTATATATTTTTGACTTAATAATTATAAAAATAAAACTGTTTTCGCGGATTTATTTAGATTTGTTTTTAAATATCAAATATTCGCGTACCTAAACCTAAAAACTTTCTTAGATTTACCCGAATATTTGTCATTAATTATAAAAATAATATTATTATTTATTAAATATTATAGGTACAACATCAGTTGTCAGTCGTAAAACGAATTTGAATTTATCTTAGCACACAGATAGAATTTGTTCTGCTTATACATACTTTTTAATACATAAGTACTGTACATCGTCCAGAACTAAAGTATTGTTAAAATAATAGGTATCTTTTTTAACAAAAATTATACCCCGACTTTAATATAACTTTGAAAGTAACTAGTCAATGCCTAGAAACGGAATTTTATTCGAAATTCATATAAAAATCTTGAAGTAGGTATAAATTATTCACCCCCCAACGTGCGTTCACCTTGTCGTGGTGGGGGGGCTCAGTAGTGCCCGGCAATCCAACCGGGCGCGAAGCTAAGAAACGCACAGGGAGGTTGCCCACTTCGGTGGGCGGTGGGAGGTGGCCCTCTTCGGGGGGCGGTGCACCATGCGGGTTGCTCCTGGTACTTCTCTGATAGCAGAGTGGACTGTGGAGCAACCCCGTGGTTGTTGTGATCTGCTTCGACACACCTGCTGTCGGGGCGTCGTAGTTGAATGCGTAAGCGATCCTGCGACGCCCCATTAAGACGGGGGAAGGTTTTGTTGGGTTTTAGTGGGTAGTACTGGCTGTATTACACCGGTGAGTCCCAGACGTCGTGCGTAAATGCATTTCCCAACGTTAAAAAAAAAGGTATAAATTATTCAAGAAAAAGAGTAGGTAACATCAAAAAATATCGCTCAATACAATTTTGTGTACAAAAAAAATCCACATGATTTGGCTATCTCTTTTTTTTATATCCATTTCGCCTAAAGTTTAATGTTAATTGCTTATTATGCATTATATTATAATATACATTATATTATAATTTTTCTTTCTCAACTTATAGAGAAAAAACCTTCTTTTGCGATTTATTACCTTTTGGAGATTTAAGCAATAGAAAGAAAGCAAGAAATAATTAATTTATATTCGCCTAGTGGTCAAATTCATGTCGTCGTGGTTGAGTGATCCTGGGACGCCCCATTAAGAAGGTGGATGTTTGGTTGGGTTTTAGTGGGTAGTACTGACTTTTCTAGCCGGTAAGTCCCACATAACTACCTGTATGTATACAGGTGGTATACGTAAATGCATCTCCCAATATTAAAAAAAGATTGTCGATATTCGACCGTAATCATTACTGAAATTTTGAGGAAAATCTAACTTTAAGAAAACAATATCGTTTTTTATATTAAAAAAACTAATTGTATGCAAACATAAAACATTCGATAAACTGAAGCTCGAAGAATAGATAATAAACATAAAAAACTTGAATG